ATAATAATAATAATAATAATAATAATAATAATAATAATAATAATAATAATGATGATGTTTAATAAGTTATGCTTTTTTTTCTTGTTGGTTTGTTCTTTGATTTTTTAGTGAGTCAAATCGGTTCTTCTCATCCGGAGCATTTCATTGTTCTGTTAACCTGCACATGACAAATAAACAACTTGAACTTGAAGGAGCTGAGGTTTCTGCTCCAGGGTGCAAGGATGGTGCCCTCTGGTGGCTGGTCCCCATCCCTACACCCCCTGGTTTCTCTGTTAATTGTCATGATTGTTTCCACCTACGTGTCTTGTCCAGGTGTGTGTGTGTGTGTGTGTGTGTGTGTGTGTGTACAAGTCTGTGTCTTTGTGTTACTCGCTGTCTGGGAAGTAATCATCTGGTCTTCGTCTGGTTTCCCTCCTTGAGTCTTTGGTTATTTCCTCATGCCATCCAAGTGTTTTGCTGCCACAACAACTTATTATTTGCTTCCATTAAAGTGCTTCTTATTTTCCTCCCTGGTTCTGAGTCCTGCCTGCACCACTGGGTTCTGATCCAAAACCATCACTCCTGACACTGGGTGCCTTGATAGTCTTGAGATTGCATAAAGCAGCCTCAGAACAAAAACCTGTCCATGTTCCACAGCAGGTATGATGTTCTTTACTCATTTTTGTAAACACAGAGCTGATGAGGCCGGAGCTAAAGGGTTCTGGGTTTGTCTCATCAGACCCAGGATCTTTGGTTCCTCTCATGTTTTTGGTGACTTCCTGTCCAACTTTGTTTTTCACATGAGGGATCTTGATGGAGCCCATTAGGATTCAAAATGTGACAGATGGTGACCAGTTTGGATCCTACCACACACACTATCCCACTGATCAACCTGGGGTCGCATTTCCTCTTGCATCCACACCCTGAGAGGTTGTCTACGGTCTCTTGAAGCTTGTGGTTTCTAACAACACGTGCAGCTGTGGTCAGAGGATCGTGAAGCTGCAGTGTTTAACGTTAACACGAACATCTAGAATCTTCTGTCTGAGCTCCTCACAGCTGTTTGGTTTCTCTGCTCCGTGTTCAGTTGGTGAACAGAACCGACCCAAACCCCCGGAGGCGGCTCGTTCCCTTCAGAGGCTGAAGGAAAGCTTAAAGGCTTCTGAGAAACTAAAAGCCTCTTCTCAAATCAAATGTTTTTTCATATTGTGGTCAAATAAACCACAACTTGTTCCTTTACAGTTTTCTGTTGCTCACTGAAGGCCTGCGGAGAAATATGAAGTCCCAGCTTGAAACTGAACCACCGTCCCAGAGAAGAGCTTTGTTTTAATGAACTGAGGGGACAAACACGTTGATCTGCATCGGAGTTCAAATATTTATCTTTCTTAACGTTTCTGTGATTGTACTTTTAGTATTTATGTAAAGATCCCTCACCTCGTATGAAAACACGTTTCCTGTCACCTTGTTGGCAACGATGTGAGAATTATTTGTGAAGACGTTGTACAGAACAGGGCAGTGATACTTTCCTGGAAATAAATAAATAAATAAGGAAAGGAGCAGAATTACTCTGACAGTGATGGCAGCAGAGGATCAAGTCCTTTTCAAAGTGCACGTAATGATCGTCCTGACTGAGAAGCAAGCGCTCGGTCATTTCTGTGTTCTCTCAGAGAGGCAAGAAGAAACTGCAGCTTCACGTCTTGAATTAATGAGTTTACTCTAAAGACGTGCGCTCTCATGGCCCGGACACGTCAACACATGAACAACTTACCTTCGTTGTTCTTGGCAAAGTTCAGTTTAATGAGGGACTTTGCTTCCAGCTTCTGCAAGACAAAAGAACAACGAGATTTATTTCTTCTAATAAAGTTTAGGACTTTGTTTTTTTTTTTTTTTTGCACGTACACAAGAGTCGTCTGGTATAAACAGGAGGAACTGAATTTAAATGTTAGGATATGATGAGGAGCAGACAACATCCATCCATCATCAGGTCTCGGGGGCAGCATCTTGAGCAGGGAGGTCCAGACATCTCTCTCCACAGCCTCTTCCAGCTCTTCTGGGAGGACTCCAAGGTGTTCCCAGACCAACAGAGAGACAGTGTCTCCAGCATGTCCTGTGTCTTCCCCTGGGTCTCCTCCCAGTCAGACATGCCTGAAGCACCTCCCTGGGGAGGAGCCCAGGGAGCATCCTCACCAGATGAACCACCTGAACTGTCTCCTCTGGATGTGGAGGAGCAGGTTCTCCTCTGAGTCTCTCCTGATAACTGAACTTCTCCCCCTGTCTCTGAGGGAGAGTCCAGCTGCAGAGGAAACTCATTTCAACCTCCTGGATCCACGATCTCATTCTTTCAGTCTCTACCAGAGTTCATGACCAGAGGTGAGGGGAGGAACGTAGACCGACCAGTAAACAGAGAGCTTTGTCTTACAGCTCGGCTCCCTCTTCACCACAACGTACCGGCACAGAGTCCACAACACTGCAGACTCTGCACCGATCCATCTGTCAGTCTCTCGCTCCATTCTTCCATCACTGAGAATAAAACCCCGAGATACTTGAACTCCTCCACTTGAGGCAGAACCTCATCCTCGACCTGAAGAGAACAATCCACCCTTTTCTAAATGAGGACCATGGACTCAGGTCTAGAGGTTCTGGTTCTCATCCCATGAGCTTCACACTCGGCTGTGAACCGCTCCAGTGAGAGCTGAAGATCACGACACGATGACGCCAACAGGACCACATCATCTGCAAAGAGCAGAGATGAATCCTGAGACCACAGAACCGGACTCCCTCCACCCCCTGGCTGCACCGAGAAGTTCTGTCCAGAAAAGTTCTGAACAGAACTGGTGACAAGGGGCAGCCCTGGTGGTCCAACTGCCACCCTAAAGGGTCCGACTTACTAGCAGCACTGAGAACCAAACTCTCGCACCGACTGTACAGGGACTGAACAGCCCGTAACAACGGGCCCGATCCCACACAGAGCAGTGGACCTGGAGGAACACGGAGGACTGGGAACTGTGACGCTTCACATGTTGAAGATGTGGAACATCTCTGCTGCGTTCACTACAGCTGAGAAACTCTCTGACAAAGAGGCCAAGTTGATGGTTTCACCAGTTCACCAGTTGTAGACGTTCACTCAGGGATCACACGGAGCAAATCTTACTAGAATCTGTCAACTCAGACTATATTGTGCTAACAGACACAACATGCACACATACAGGAAAAACTGTCACCTCTTGTCGTCAGGCGATGATAAGACCTAAAAACTGTCACAGCATCTCGTGTTCGTTTCTCCATCAAGGTCAAAGGTCAGATGTATTTCATGGTAGAAATTAGACGTGAGAATTTTGACAAAGTATTTTAATTAAATTAGATTTTCTTACTTCTCCAGAGATGGGGTTAGTTCCATACTTCTTTATCCAGGGAACGATGCTCCTGAAGCAGAGAGGCGGACAGGAAGTACGGTTCCAGGTTCAACCACACAAAAACAAAGATTTGTAAATGGTTGTTGTCTTGAAAACATTTCTGCAACACACGTTACTTTTAAAACATCCGTGTAAGCCAAGCAGCCAGAAATTAAAATATAAAACAGTGTGAGCTGCAGCACGAGCAAAGAAGACATGAAAACTGCATTTTGGACAGTTTGTACATGAAATTCTAACATCGGAGGCTTCTACACGTTGCACACCACCTGACTAACTCGTTTCAAGTCAGCAAGCACAACTCACAGCAGGTCAAACACAACTCCGTCCTCCGTGCACACGGGGTACTCAAAGGGCTGAAGGGACAAGCTGAAAGAATCAGAGACAGTTAAACACTTGTGAGCCCTGACGTGGCTTCAAAGATTCAAGAAGCAGCGAAGCCACAGCAAAGTTGGCACTGACAAGTGTCCTCACCTGCAGTGGTCAAATGAAAGACGTCGAAAGTTTGCTTGTGGGATTTCTGAAAAAGGAAAAAACAAAATCTTAAAATTTAGATAAATTCTAATGCCAGTGTCTAAAAGGTTAAGCACATAAAAACAAAACTTATGCTTGGACTTGTCTGCTTGTAGAATGAGGCAATATTTGAATTACATCATTCATCCTAAAGCTCAGCTGGTTCCATCTTCAGTCCAAGAACCTCCTGTAGTCGTCAGTACCACGAGTCAAAGTTTGTAAAGTCGTCTCTGAACATTTCAGTTCACTTTATTTCTAGATTTTACTTTTTTGTTGGATGTAACTGGGACTCTGTGCAGTTTTGTTCCACCACATGTACCACATGAGGTGCAAATGACAAATAAAAACCTTGAGTCCTCATGAAACTCCAAGTCACAACAGAATCGTCTCAGGGCTGAACAGAATCATTCATCAATAAAATAATAATTGAACAGAAACATTCATCAATAAAATAATAATTG